GGGAGATACGGCGGGTGTATTTCTCTTCTATTCGCCAGTGGATCCCATGGATGTCATAGTCACCGCAAGAATGTTGGGCTGGCAATGTCGATCCGTTTATCACGTACTCGTCATGAATTTCAGACGTTTGATTGATTTTTATCGATTGATTTTCGGAATTAAATTCTATGAATTGCAGTTTTTGCAATTAAATAGTCATTAGTGGGGATAAAAATAAATGAAATTCAGATGTTTTGATAATTTAAGAATAGATTTACCTGAAAATTCTTGATTTTTTATCAATTTTCGTGGAATTGAATTTCCATTGATTATTTTAATTAAATTGTACACCTTTCGATTGATTTTCATCGATTGATTTTAACAATTAGATTTTGTCAATAGATGGTTTAAGAATAATTTAATTGAATTGTAAATCGCTTGATTGATTTTTATCGATTGATTTTAAGGATTTAATTTTGTGAATTGCGATTTGTTGCATCACGAAAATATAAATAGATGAAATTATTTGCTCACCAATTTTGACGATGGGTGGCAATGCATTCGTGTAAACAGTCATTCGTAACAGTAGTAAAATGATGACGGAGGCTAGCAGGCAGCCCGGGGCCCCCTTCATAGCTCATCTCGAAGACTCACCCTTTCGGCCTCTCCCCACTCACGATCACACGTCACTAACCCGATACAGCGTCTCCACCCCCCCTCCTCAGGGTGTAGAGGCTCTCAGGTCTGCATGCACCTGTTAAATAAATTCAAAGTACATCAAGCGTTTTTTGTTTAGACTTTTAGAATCTCCCGCACGATGAGTATTTTAAAAAATTGAGTTTTCATTCAATTTTTCATCAATTTATTGAATTGTCAATTTACATAAATAAATGATTCATGAAAAAAAAATCTCTAAAGTGTCCCTTTACATTGAATTTTTAATTAAGTTGAAATTGTGGAAATAATTTGCAGAATTTTCCTGATTTGAATTAATTTGAATGTGATAATTGAAATGGAATTGACAGTTTTCGTTGATTTTTTATCAATTTATTGAATTCTTCATTTCTATAAATAAATGGTACATTAAAGAATCCCTAAAGTATCAATTTATATGAAATTTTTAATCAATTCAAACTGTTTTAAATGTTTTCCTAAACATTCATGATTTAAATTAATTTTCTTATGCTAATTGAACTGAAATTGACAGTTCCCATAAATTTTTCCATCAATTTATTGACTTCCCAATTCACGTAAATAACCGATTCATGCAAAAAAACCATCAAGTGAAGAACCCCAATTTCCCCTTTACCTCCCTAAAAAATTTAAACCCCCTCCCACAAGCGACTTCAAAACTTACGCTTCACATTAAACCTCAGACATCCCCGGATCTCCTCCAACTTTGATTCATCGGTCTCCGCGGATACTTCCTAATGGTTTTGGAAATGAGGCACTTTCATTCCCCCCTCGAGACCCCGAAATTTCGCAAATTTCACGTTCCTCCAAGTGCTCCCAGTCCCCACGTTGTAACACCCGGTAACAAAATTCTGGAATAACTCCGGAAATTGCAACTGCGTTTGGAATTGTTGTTACGGAGCTTATGGGAATCTGAGTGTGTGCTCTGGCTGTTCGGTTACAGATAAATTTCTACGATTTACCCGACGAGTACAAGGGATAACAGATTTGTAAGCTGCTTGGATCGATGATTCACACGCTTCGTTCAAATATTCTCATCCCCACCCAGTGTCCCCCCGCCTGTGACCATCGAGCCCACCTGGTTCGCGCCCCGTTTGCTTCCAATTCTCCAGGGATTTCCAGAAAAACCCACAGCGCCAGCAAAAATACCTCACGTGGTCTTTTCTCACGCTCCCCCAATGGTCTTGTATTTCGTTTTTATTTTTTTTCGTCAATTGTTTTTGGAATTTTTATCATTGTATCGGCATCCGTCAATGTCGCTGGAGGCTACCGCGAAAATTGAGAGGATTTTTCTCATCATAAATCATTCATTATCTGTTATGAACATCGAGCTCAAAGGGGCGGAATCGAAAAATTTGGAAATTGGCTTTACGCGAAATTTCGTTTGAAAACTGGTAAAGAGAATTTAATAAAATCCGGGGGAATTTATTTGAGGAGCGGATGAGCTGCGGCGTCAGTGAAAAATTTAATTTCAGAATTGAATACAAATTTTCTAGAGAGCAAAATTTAATTCGATTCTAAAGTAAAAAAATCATGAAAAATTGATGAAATTCCCGAAATTACTTGAGTGTTCAATAAAAAATGAATATTCAGTACCAAATTACGTAAATTTATCTCATTTTTAGTAATTCCCCTGCAATAACTGAACTAAAATTAACAATTTTCAACGATTTTCCGTAAAGATTTGAATTTCCAGTGACGAAATTTCTTGAAATGTCACCAAAAATTTCTAAACATTGTGTACGAGCCAACAGCAATGCCATCAATTATCGCAAATGAATTCCGTTTCGCCCTTTGTTGTTATTAAAAAAAAAAACAATTTTTCCCCGATAAATAATCCATTCACAAAATGTGGAAAACTGACTTAATTGAAATTTCGTTAGAACTCCGATGGATCGAATGAAATAAAATTACATCGAAAGTCCACGGGGAACGGCTGAGGTGTCCGAGGGAAAAGTGATTAGACCAATCGTTGGGTAAAAATTTCGGTGCTTTTTTCCAATCCCCACTCCGGGGGCTTCAGAAATCGCCTCCTCGTCCTAATCGATTTAACCCCTCACGGCAATCTTGTTAAACTAGCGTGAATTGCGAGTGAGATCGATACAATTTTCCGCGAGGACCGATCGGGCTATGCACACACTCACTGGCGCTGTTCACTTGACGTTGAAGTGTCACTGAGAATTACGCGAGACAAGAGTGACCGTAATTAATATCGAGTGTTGTAAAAATTGAATTAATAAAGTCGACGTTGCGTTCATGGGTCCCGACACATGACACTGCGGCCACGTGTCCCAATTTCGCGTTGAGAAGATCTCAGTGAAGGACTCAGCAGCAAAAAAATGATATTAATTGAGAAAAAATTGAATCGAGTGAATAAAAATGGGAAATGCAATTTTTTTAGAGCGAAAATTCATTTGAGAATTAATTAATGAGCTTGTTGTGGTGACTGGGGGCGGTTGGGCGACGCGAAATGGCGGGGCTGGGGGGGAGTGATCGATTGAGGGAGGAAAAATCACAGGGGAAATTTATAATAATTTATGAAAATGTAAAACTCACCGAAACGGAGCGAAACATGTGGGATCCCACCGTGACAGCGGCCGGCGCGCGACTGTCCGCTCTTGGTCTTACCCTCGGGTGTGCAGAAACCCCACGAGTCTCACTCCAACGCAGGGCGGGTATCGCACTGCTGGATAATATCAGTGGGTCCACGTGCTCGCGGCACTCCGTGCGCAGGCGCTCCACTTGCCGGTGTGATTGGAATTTAGCGGGAAACCGCAGCATCTCTGGGGCAGCTGCCGAAGAATGCACGGGCATTTGTGGAGGGACTTTTGGGGAGTCGAGGTGGCATTCGACATTAGTGAGTGGAATACGAATATTGAGAATTAAAATTGCGTTGAATTTAGCATTAATAATGGAAAATATTGAGTGAGTCAATCCTTTTTTGGAAAAATCGATGGAAAGTTTATTATTTGGGTCAATTCTCCCGGGAAATTGATAAAACTCAAGGAAATTCGGGGGACATGTTTTTGGTTTTGAATTTATTGAGAATTACACTTAATTTTTAGGGAAATGTGAAATTTCTGTCTGTGAAATTACAATTTTTTCATGTGAATATAATCCCAATTGATAATTTTCAGTGATTTCTTCCTTAATTTATCTGGATTAATCAAAAATACTGAAAATTGTTCTCTGAATTTTTCTCATTTCTATTAATTTCCTCGCAACAATTGGACGAAATTTATTTTCCCTAAATAAACAAATTTTCCTTCACATTTTTCATGCAACAAAAAATTTGTCGCTGAAAAAATTAAATTGTGTTCTCATAATATCGACTGATGATTTAGTTTATCACTAATTTAATTAATCAATCGGTCAATACACACTATTCTCTGGTATAACATAAACAAAAATAAAGAAAACGAAAAATAACAAATAAATGATAACTCTGTAATATTCCCGTAACTCCCCAAGAAAAAAAGAAATACCCATCACTTTTCATTGTTACCCGCGCGCTCTTCTTCAAACCGAAGGTATAAAGAAGCCCCAGAAAAGTTCAAAGGTATTTTCTCTTCTGCGCCGGTTATCACGTATTTAATAATGTGGATATACGCCAGAAGCGTAAAACTCACCTGAGCGAGGAAAATCGTATTTCAAAAAAGCGTATGACCGTTTTCACAGTGCGCCAAAGCCTTGCATCAACATTTTCATTTTGAATTCCGCCGTTACTGCTCTCACCTGCATCAGTATACCTGAGCAGAACGAAAGGGCGGGGGGGGGGCAAAATGGCATTGGATTTAAGTCAAAACATAACTCCGTCCAATGTCTTTACTTCGGTTCGCTCGTAAAAAGTTACTGTCGCGCCCCCCCAACCCCGTCTCATCCTTTCTTCTCACTTAGGAATGAAAGTGTACCTGAGAAAACATTCTTCATAAAAAATTTTACGAGGTTTAATATTTCATAACCCCTCGCAATGTATGCGATCCCTTACATTACCTGAGAATAATTTATTTAATTAATTGAGACGAACTCATTATTTTCCGTTGATCAATCCATCTATTTTATATTTTTTATGTACTTTTTTGCTTCTAAAGTGAATAAATATTATTATTTTGTTACCCAAGGTGCCAAAATAACAATATTTAATGGGAGAAATAGCAATCGTAATAGTTTTATGGGATATTTAATGGGTGAGTGAATATTGTGGAGTGAAATTGATTCCGGAATTTTGCCATTGAGCTGAGACTCGAACCCCCGAGCGCTTCGATTTTCCACAGCGGCGAGTGGTTGCACGGTTTATCCGCACGATGGCGACACCCTCGAGGGAGCGGGTGTGGGAGCGCTCTCCTCCCGCTCTTTCATTTCTCTCCGGCTCTTCTCATTCCCGGAATGCTCACCTCAGCGAATCTCATTGCTGGATTCAACGAGTGCCTCGTCCCGCGTTTAAATTCCTTCGTTCTTTTTTTTTTCATCTGGAATTGTTTTTTTTCACTCCGTCGTTTTGCGAACTGAAATGTCCCCGAAGATCTTCTTTTGTCACAACTCCCTTCACCCCATTTCCTCAGTGGGGACCTCCTCGTTTTCTCATCGTTGTGACTGTCGCTGGTTTTGAATGGAGATGAAATCATCACATGAAAATGAATGGGGTTTCCAGGTCGGGGGAAGATGAAGAGATATAATAAATTAATAATAATGGATGATGAGGGTTTCGGGGTAGTCGAGGGGTAATTAGTGGATTCATTGATTAACAAGTGTAATTTTTTTGCTAATAAATTAGCAAAATGCTTCCAAATGGTTATTTTGCACATCATTTCCTTGTATCGTGTACAATTCATTGTTTATTTCATTTTATTAAATTGAATAAGATTTCTTATCAGAACTAAACTGTTATCAAAACTAATCGACGAATTAAATTTGAGTTTATGGCGATCAATAGGGCTCAACAATTCCTACATTTAGAAAAAAAAGATTGAATTCCACCCATTCATTGATACTTTTTGGCAAAAAATCCAAAACTTAAATTTGGGAAGTAATTCTGTACTTCCTAATGAAAATATCATTCACGAACTTTTGAATAGAAATGCATTTCAGATGTAAACACATTACGAAGAGCATCGAGTCGTGAAAATACGCGGAAAACGTAGCAAAACAGGATTTAAATTCTGCCATCAACATTTTTCCTCGAGTACTATTTTTTGCTGTGCCCTTTATTTTCACTGTCTCCTGCCTTTTCCTCTGCCCTATTCACATTACTTCATGTAAAAATGTTTTCAAATGGATACAGAGGATGAGAGTGACACTGGGAGAATGAATATTAAGCGGAGCACGGGGTTTCGAGGCGATAAAAATGAAACGGAGAGTTCGGGGAATTCTCCGCGATGTTACACGTTTAATTGGGGATTAATCAGTGGAGTGGAAAGTTTAACGTGCACTATTATCGCACTTATCTTCACAGTCGTTGTTAAAATTTCAAGGGAGATGGATGGTCGATGTTCACGTGATTTAATTTACTTTTAATGGATGGGGGAACAATTTGTAGGGTTTTAATCTACGGTTTTTGATGGCTGGAACTGAAGCAAGATCTTTGTTAGCGTCTGCCGCACGCGATCACATTATTTCATCAACTCGGCGGGGAAAAAGTGATGTTTCTTGGCGTTTTTTTAAGTTTGGATTAAAGTTCATTCATCACTTCGGAAATTTTAAGATTTACATTTCTTTTTTTTTATTAAATGAAGAGAAATAATTTTTTTATTGGATAAACTTATTTGATTTGATTAAATATATTTCTATAAAATCATGAAATTTCTGATTTCGCTGAAAATTATGAATGAAAAAATAAATATTGAGTACCAATTGACGCAGAATTTAAATTTACCTGATTTCTACTAATTTGCGTGGAATAATTGAACTGAAATTTCAGTGAAATTGTAATAAAATGAAAAAATTGTTTGGCGTTGCTACAAATTAATTAAACACATTCATTCAATTAAAGTAAAGTTCATCTACTTGAAGTAAACCGCTTCCCCAAGTGAGATCTATGGAAAACACGACAGGCTTGAATTTAAATCCCTTGTCTGACCAATACCGCCCTTACCTACTCCCGCGAGAACTATGGGCGCAGTGTCATAACTTAAATTCCCTTTCAACCGCTGTCTGACCACCTTCGCCCTTACCTACTTCCGCGAGACGTACGGCCTCAGCATCAAAACTTTCCGAGCTAGAGCAACGAATTAGGAGATTCTGAAAATTATGTCTCACAAAATCAAATAAAAATACGATAATTTTCCTCATTCTTTCCCCTAATCCAAATAAATCGGCTCAACTCCAAACGATTCACCATTTCTCAATGCCATTTATATGAATGTAATAATTTATTTCTCAAATAACTGCACTGAGAGAAAAAATTAGTAATTTAATTTTCCTGGAACAAATGATAATTCCAAGCGGAAACTCCAATTTTCTTGCCGACAACTGTGTTATTGGCAACACAAAATAATTCCGAGGGGACAATTTTTTTTGGGAAAACATATTCTCTCGTCAAAGTATTCTGTCTATGAAATAACCCTATGGAGTTCTCTCAGATCAAACGATTGTAGTACAGTAGATTATATTTTTTCCCGCCTGATCGCGACAAAAATTTAATTCTTGTGGAAGATATTAATTTTCCTTCTATCGATTTCGCTAATTTCCCTTAACTAAATCTGTCTCACGCCAAATATTCTCGCCTGGATCATATCCGTAGCGAAGTGGTCAAACGGTTTGAGTCGATTTTGACTACTCATGAGTTTTCAATGAATATCTCGCAATCTAAGGCAGATAGCAAAATTTCTGTAATAACCTTTTCGGAAGAGCTCATTAAGAGCTTCAAAAAAGATATATACGAAAATTTCGCTATCTCCCTCAGATTTTGAGCTAAGTCGACTTAAACCGTTTGACCACTTCGCCACTGATCTAGGTTTTCGCCATAGCAAATTTTTTTCCGCCAGCGTACTGAACCACGACGCTTGTACATTACGTATCCCCAAGTACGCTTATGCAAACGTCGAACACCCAGATTCAGGGGAGAGTAACCCCCCAGAACGGCACGTAGTCGTAATTCACGTTGTATTAAGCCAAGCGGAAGGAGACCTGCGGTTGGATAAGACGGGATGATAAAAGGCGTAAAGGTGTCAGAGGACCAAGAACGTGTGGTCTTGGAGAGGCCACTGCACGAGTCAGAGGCACTAACCCTCCATCCTCCTCAGGACGAGACGTCGACGGCCCCGACTAGAGCGAAAAAATAATGGAAAGGCGAAAAAAGAAATTGCGAAAATTCTCAAAACGGCAGATTGTCGAAATTTCGTTGGATTAAAAAATGAATAACCCCGAGATGAGGGGAAATTCACCCCGCTGAGATCCGAGACGACTGGAGTGAGGGGCGAAGACAATGACAGGGAGATCAAAGAACACTTTACAGCCCCTTTCTTCTTGAAATGAAATTGTTAATAGAGGGAACTAATTAGGCTTTTCTCTGCGGATAAACCCGAAGTTTTATAACTTTTCCCTCAAAGGGAAGAATTTCACGATATGAGTTTTTCCGCTGATTGATAATGAAGTTACTTCGATGAAAAAATTTCTCGTTGAATTAGTGGAAGAACTAGTG